AAATCTTTACAAAATAATAGGTCCTCCATTTTAGTTTTCCAAGTTACCCAATTGCTTCCATTGAAGCTAGTAGCAAACAACCAACTAACAACAAGTAACAAAGGATCCCTAACGCTTCCGTTTCTTTTTCTTTTTTTTGGTATTGGCATTCCAACCTCGATGCTTCCATGCGTCCGAGGAGCCAACCGCTGTAAGGCCGAAACTCGGTGTGGATCCCTCGCCCTGGCATCCTCCTTGCATCGTGCTTTTTTTTCGAGCACGGTTCGTAAGTCGGATGACCTGGGCAGCTCTGTCTGTCTAGATCTGGTTTGGTGTGAATGTGAAGGCCAATACATGCTTCCTTCAGTGTATGATCTCTCAGATCTCGTCCTCTCAGACCTAGAGTGACGAGTTTTGGAAGACCATGATTGAGTATCGCCTGTCCTGAGGCTTCTATTCTCTCCTTGTGACGGTGTAGTATTCCTACTACGATTTTCTGAGTGGCGAGGGGGCGTCTTGTTCTTGCGCCCCTCTCCTGTCGCCACTTCTTTTTTCTTCATCTGTCGTTTCAAGGCCTCCATGTCCGCCGCCATCTTCCTTATCAATTCATCTTGCTCTTTCACACGATCCTCCAGAGCTTGAGAGTCAATCCTCCGTCTTTGCCGGTCAGGACTTTGAGAATGGGATTGACGGGGGCTGTGATTCCGTCTTCCCCTAGCATCCCTTCTGGAGGTATGTCATTGTGGCTCCAGATCCGCCATGGGAGGGACAGAAGGTAATCCTTCACGCCTTGCGCCTCCTTCTGGAGTTAGTCCGTCGACGGCGGACTGCGGTAGTTCTTCAATGTGTGCCATTGATTGAGAAAATGAGAAGCTTAGTCAAGAGGTTTTTTGTTCTTGTCTGTTATTCCCACAGACGGCGCCAATTGTACGGGGAAGAAATAATTCTCCTCGTATAATCCTGTTGACTTAGTCCATGCTCCTCCGTAAGACGTCGGTTTGTCACCTGAAAACACAAATGTGAGCTAGCCGGCGGGTGTGTGCCGGAAACCTCTCCGATGCCTAAGTCAGAAAACTTGACAAATAGACAAAGCTCAATGTATTCAGAAAGCAAAATTATATGTTGTCTTATGTTGTTACCCCCTCCAAGGTGATGCTTGTGAGCTTTTATAGATTTCGAGTGGCACAATCCTAGTAGGGCTTTTATTTCTCCATGCAGAGTCTTGCTAGGATTCATACTCCTAAAGGATAATGCCTATCCTTTTACACCCCCCAACTGCTTAAACCAAGTGGGATGGTTTTTACTATGGCCGAACTATCACACGACCGAAGTAAAACTGGCTATGCTGAGCCACAATGTAGGCCGAACTTCCCTTAGCTCGGTCCTCCCTCTACTCCTCCTTACCTCGGTTTTCTCCTGTTCAACCCAGGATATGTTTAGTCCGAACTAACAATTTATGACCGGTATAACTTCAAGGCCGGTATAACTTCAAGTTACTTTCAAACCGAAGTACATTTATCCTCAAACCGAAATAACTCCATCTCTATCTGGGCCGGAGTAACTTTAACTCTTAAACCGGAGTAACATTCTTATTCTTGGACCGGAGTAAGTTTTACATCTCCATTGGGCCTTTTTATCCTGTCCTTCGTACTTTGGGTCATAAAGTCCATTTTCGCGGCTCGGCCCAATTTTTACCAAAAATCACCCTCTCATTAACATATTTTTTTCTTAAATTTAAGAATAGTTAAATTCAAATTAATGTAACAGTTATAGTCGGATGATTTTGAATTTTAACAATATGTTACAAGTTTATGCATTAAAATGAAGATCTCAATTCCAAACATGTAATGTATAGGATCTAAGGACAGACGTTAAGGAGAATGTAGGGATAATCACGATATTTTCAAACAAAACATAAGTAAACTTGGTTAATTGACTTATCAGTTAGCTAACATAGAGTGATTTATGTAATATAACTAAAAAAATTTAGAAGTGTAACCCCTTCAAGAAATCATATAATAATCTCTGCAATTTTTACCAAACAAGTTTTTGACAAAGAAAGAGTTCATTATTTTGAAATTAGCTTCAGATTCTATGACCAGCATAGTAGTCTCATTGAACTATCTGCTCTTATAAGCAACAGTCTTAACTGATTATACTAAGCACATCACCTAAAAGTTCATTTATCACCTCTTGATAAAATTAGGATGATTAGCAAGCCTCGACACTGCCTTTGATTTTTGATAATTACAAATGGTTATTTCAAATTTTCATCCAATGCCATTAAACTAAATAAATAGGAATAAAGTGATGTTATGGCATGGGAGTATTGTCATTTTAGTTTCTCCACTGATTTTTTTATTTTTTTATTTTTAATGTCGGAGTCAACTTGTTCGTATCTCGACTAATCCCTATGGTCATGAAATTAATGACCAAGCAAACCTCCAGTGACCCCTTGGAGTAACTCGAACTCAACGGTGTTTTAAAGGACAATTTATCTATTTCATTGAACTATTAATCTATCAAATACAGACTTAATTGCTTATAGTTAGTGAACATCTTGCAATTGACTGGCCATGCATTATCTTCTAGTAATTATTTTTGTTGGATTATAACATAGTGACGTCATTAACTGCACATTACTTTTGTTTGGGAAGAAAGTTTCAATGGCATAATATTTATGCTATTTGCATTATGTAGAGTATTTTCAATGAGTTATTTAAAAGACACTTCTTTACTATTATAGTTAGTCTTGTCTTATTTTGCTTCCTCCAACGAGCTAGTTACTACACTAACCATTTTAACATTTTTTTTCCTACCTAGTTACATTTGGAGAGTCTTGAGAGACTCTTTAAATAGTTTGAAGAAATAGATAAAATAAGAGTAACGTTAGAGCATATAGATAATATATATATATATATATATATATTTAGGTAAAATAAAAAAATTCCTGTATTGTACTTTGACTAATAAAAAATAAAGAGTTGCGTTTAACTTCATAATGTATTTTTCAAAGAGACATTGTTTCCTATTATTTTAAAAAATAAAAATTTATTTTCTCAATTCTTTTTTTATTAAATTGATTTGTATTTTTAAGAATATCATTGTATCATCTTTATTAATATATGAGTAATATTACAAATCCACTTGTATCAACCCAGAAATTAATTTCCACCACACCTCACATGGACCCTACAGTATACAAATTAATCTCCACTACACAATCACTCACCCGGAATTTTCTACGTGGATAAGGGTGAGTCTCTAGACTTTTCCTTGATATATATGTATATATATTAGGTAGTCTCGGAGTACAATGTGATATTATCCATGTGGTGCTTCCAACAAATGTGAAACTACAAAATGCACTTTGCGGATCATTCTTTATTTATCAAGTACCTAATAAAAGTGCTTTAGTATGGTCTCACCCATAATGGTTGAGAGCTCAACGTGAACAGTACCATAAGGACCTACTAAATAATTATCCGAAAATGATTCGTAGCTCGAACGTGTAGAGCTCGAATGGCTCAAATGGTACGGAAAATATTATCTTACCGGTAAGAGAATAAAAAAAACCCTTAAAACGACGTCGTTTTGAGATTTCGAGCCATTCGAGCCTTTGATATTTCGAGCTACATAGCGGAACCAATAATTACCCATTCTTATATGGTATTTTATATAAAGCTTTTGTTTACGACATTTTTTTTCCAGTAATTTTTCTCTTGGGCGTGTGGAATAGTTGCAAAAAAAATTTGAGCCATTGATTTTGATAAGATAGAATATATGCCTATATGTAAACACGTAATTGTAGCCGCAATAATCATGACTATCCATTTTGTTACTCTCAGTTATGAATTCATTCTAAAACCAATTAGACTTTCAGTCTCATGCTTTTCTTGGTTTGTTTGTGTCTTTCTCTAAATCTGATATAATATTGTTTCTTACTTCCTTATTTTCACTAGGGAAACAATGCCTATAGGCGAAATCTTTCTTGCTGCTTTCATTAAGGTGTTGTTTGAGAAGTTGGCCTCAACTGAACTACTGAAGTTTGCTCGTCAGGAGCAAGTTCATACTCACATCAAGAGATGGAGTGGAGAATTAGCTAAAATTCAAGCATTCTTGGCTGATGCGGAGGGGAAACAAATAGAAAATAGAGCTGTGAAAATGTGGCTGGAGGAACTCACAGACCTGACTTATGATCTGGATGACATACTGGATGAATTTGCCACTGAAGCTTTACGGCGTAAGTTAACATCAGAGTCTCAAGCAGCTAGCACCAGCAGGAGCAAGCTACGGGCCATGATACCTACATGTTGTAAAGGACTCAATCCAACAACTTTTTTGTCTGATTTTACGAGGAGTTCTACTTCCAAGATAGAGGAAATCACAACCAGATTGAAAAATATTCTTGAAAACGGAAGTGGACTTGGTTTACAACAGATTCTTGCAGAAGAATCTGCTAAAGCTTGGCAGAGACCACCCTCCACATCCTTGATACATGAACCTCGCATACATGGCAGGGATAAGGAAAAAAAGGAGATAATTGATTTTCTCCTCAGAAATGAGTCAAGTGATAACAAAGTTGGCGTAATTCCCATTGTAGGTATGGGTGGGCTTGGCAAGACCACCCTTGCACAAATGGTATACAACGATGAAGTAGTGAACAAGAATTTTGATTCGAAAGCATGGGTCTGTGTTTCTGATGAGTTTGATATTTTGAGAATCTCAAAAGTAATTCTTGAGTCTATTACTTCCAAGTCTTGTGAATTTAAAGAATTGAATCAAGTTCAAGTTCAGCTAAAGCAAAATTTGGTTGGAAAAAAGATTTTAATTGTTTTAGATGACGTATGGGACAAGAAATACAATGATTGGAATGTTTTGAAGAGCCCCATTAATGATGGAGCCCCAGGAAGTAAGATAATTGTAACAACCCGTGACGGAGATGTTGCATCGAGTATGGGAACCGTTCAAAACCATTTGTTACAACATCTATCAGAAAATGATTGTTGGTCGGTGTTTGCACAACATGCCTTTGGGAATAGAAGCATGGATGCAAATCCAAATTTGGTGTTTATTGGTAGGAAAATTGTGGAAAAATGTAAAGGTTTGCCTTTGGCTGCTAGGACACTCGGTGGCCTTTTACGGTGCAAAAAAAGAGACGATGAGTGGGAAAATGTATTGAATAGTAAAATATGGGATTTAACTGAACAAGGCAGTGAAATCCTCCCAGCTTTGAGATTAAGCTACCATCATCTCCCTTCACATTTGAAGCGGTGCTTTGCATATTGCTCTATACTGCCAAAGGACTATGAATTTGAGGATGAGGAGTTAGTCTTCTTGTGGATGGCAGAAGGCCTTCTTCAGCAACAAAATGGAAAGAAGCAAATGGAAGATTTAGGAGCTGAATACTTTCGTGAATTGCAGTCGAGGTGTTTTTTCCAACCATCAAGTGGTGGTGAAAACTCGAAATTTGTGATGCATGACCTCATCAATGATTTAGCTCAGTCAGTTGCAAGATATACTTGTTTTAGATTGGAGGATAAATTGAAGGATTAGGAGCAATGTAGAAAATTGAAGAGTGCTCGACATTCATCTTACATGCAAAGCGAATTTGATGCAATCAAAAAGTTTGAAACTTTTTATGAAGCCGAGAATGTAAGGACCTTCTTACCCTTGTCCTTAGATAAAGATGAATCTTGTTATTTGACGAGCAATGTTGCCCTTAATTTGTTGCCAAAGATGATACGCTTAAGGGTCTTGAGTTTGAATAGATATCACATTGGCGAACTTATTCCAAAATCAATTGGAGATTTGAAACATTTGCGATATCTTAACTTTTCCTACACTAGAATCAGAACAGTACCTGAATCATTAGGTACCCTATACAATCTACAAACTTTGATGCTAAGAGGTTGTCCAGAACTGAGGAAATTGCCTGCGGACATGGGAAACCTTATCAACCTACGTCATCTCGATATGATTGATTCAAATTCCTTAGAAGAAATGCCACGAGGAATTGGTAAGTTGACAAGTCTCCAAACACTATCCAATTTTATTGTTATGAAAGACAACAATGGGTCTCGGATAAGAGAGTTGGGGAACTTGATTCATCTTACAGGGAAACTTTGCATATCGGGTATAGAAAATGTGGTTGATTCTTCGTATGCAAGAGGGGTGTGTTTAAATGACAAGCATGGTATAGATGTGCTAACAATGGTATGGAGTAGTGAGAGCTTGGATGGTTCAGGAAATGAAATGGTTACAAAAATGCTTGACATATTAAAACCTCACAAGAAGCTGAAAGAGCTACACATTAGAGGCTACCATGGTATGAGTTTTCCAACTTGGATAGGAGATCCTTTGTTCTCCAATATGGTGTGCATGAAGTTGCAAAATTGTAAAAATTGCACTTCCTTACCGCCACTTGGACAACTACCCTCTTTGAAAGACCTTCAAATTGAAGGAACGAGTGGTGTAAAGCATGTGGGTTGTGAGTTCTATGGGCAGCATTGCGCCAAACCTTTTCCATTACTCGAGACACTATGTTTTGAGAATATGTCAAAATGGGAGGATTGGTACATTTTTGGAATTGACAAGGAAGTTCAAACCTTCACTCGTGTTAGTAAGCTCTCCATCAAAAAATGTCCCAAACTTGTGCAAATGTTGCCGAGTAATCTTCCTTGCCTAAAAACTCTTGAGATTATAAATTGCTCGTAGCTGCTGGTTGAAGCTTCTAGCCTTGTTCTCCCGTCACTCACCTCCCTGTCCATGAGTGATGTTCGGCTTCCAAGCCTTCCAGTGCTCCTTGAGACATGTATCGTGCTTGAACCCAGTTCCCTTACTTGCTTGAATATTAGAAATGTTAAAATCCCTGAGTCCCTGTGCAATCCAAGCATAGATGATGAAGTGATGTTGGCAAATGCAATGTCTAAGCATCTGAGTTCGGTAACTTCCTTGAGCATTGAGATGATTCAGAAACTTGCATTATTGCCAAAATGGCTTACCCAGGGGCTTAAGGGACTCAAAGAATTGCAGATTTCTAGTTGTAAAGAACTCACAACACTGTGGCAGAATGAGGAGGGACTACAACACAATCTCGTTGTCTTGCAAATTGATGATTGTCCGCAACTTGTTTCATTGTTTGAAGAAGATGAGGATGTAGAAAACGAAGGGCTACATCAACAAGAGGGAGTGCCTTCCATGGTGAGACTAGATATACGTAATTGTGAAAAGCTGGAGAAACTGCCACGGGGGCTACAGACCTTCACTTCTCTTCGACAGATGGATATCCTTGAGTGCCCTAGTCTGGTATCTTTTTCAGAGACAGGCTTTCCGCCTAGCCTAAGAGGACTTCAGATTGATGGATGTAAGGCTCTGCGGTCCTTACCTGGGTGGACAGCGTACGATTCTAATCTGGTGTTCTTGGTGATAAAGAGGTGTGATAATCTGGAGTCCCTTCCGGAAGAATGGGTCCACCACCCCGCAACAAAACTGGAAACATTGATTATCAGAAAATGCAAAAAACTAGAATTGGTCCTCTTGCCAAACCCTAGTTTACGCAACAACAACAGCCTCTTCGCTTCCCTTGAATTTCTGGCGATAGAAAGTTGGCCTGCAGGAGGAGAAATCGTCTCCTCCTACATTCTAGAGAAAGGGAATTTCCTCACCAACCTCACTTATCTTGATATCGGGAATGTGAAGACTGGTAAGCCACTATCAGAGTGGGGTTTGCACAGATTCTCCTCTCTTGAAAGTCTCCGGCTTAATGGCCCAGGTAACGTATCAGAAGCAGAAGAATATTCGGTGTCCAGCTTTCCAGTAGATGGGATGTTGCTGCCCACCTCTTTGACGCATCTGTGGATTTGGAATTTCCCAAATCTGGAGAAGATATCTTCTTCCATGGAGACCATTCAAAACCTCACCTATCTTCAATTCAGTAATTGCCCTAGGCTCACATCTTTTCCCGAGCAAGGAGGGTTGCCTCCCTCGCTTTTGCAACTTCATTTACACCTATGTCCAATAATGAAACGGAGGTGTGAAAAGGAGAAAGGCAAATATTGGACCCTCATAGCTCCCATTCCTAAAGTCACCATAGACGACAGATACATCTTTGAAGTAGAGGAATAAACTGCAATATGTATGAGCAATCAAAACTAGCAGGTACTCACTCCTCAAAAATCACCCAAATTAAATATATCAAAATTATTAGTTAATTATTTTTATCAATGCTAACAGTGTCACAATATCCTCATCTCGTCACAACAGAGCCTGTGTATTACTTATAATATATATAACATATAATATGGGAAGGTTGGGCTATGTTTTATTTTATTTTATTTTATTTTTTTATCATGACAGTTTTCCCTTTTAAATATAGAAAATCACGAAGAAAACAACAAATTTGAAGGACATTGACTTATCGTTGATTTATTTTAGAGTGATGTTTTGGAATTTCTTATTACTATACGCGAATTGTTATGTTGGAATTACAATGCTGGGATCCAACTTTTTGCTTTTACCATTGAATGGGGCAGGTTGACGAAGTTTAGGATGAAGAGGCCAAATCAATTTCTTATATGGACATTTAATAAAATGTGTTCTTGTTGCTGATCAAAAAAATTAAAAAAAAAATTAAATTCTTATATGGAAAAACAGGGGAATTACATTGCAAGAAGGGTTGTATTCTTCTTTAGAAAGAGGGATTTCTGTTCTTTCTTATCCCTTCCCCCTGTTTATTGATTGTAATGATTCACATTATTATTTATAAACTCTTTCATTTTCTGATAAAATGTAAAAAAAATCATATTGCTGAATGGCAATTTGTTTTCTCACTTTAACACCCCAGACAATCAGGATCACATGCCCAATCACAATAATCAACCGTCGGAATTGATTATATATAGAATTTATGTATTTTCACCATGAATAATTGATGCCTTTTTGTTCATCTACATATGTCGTTTGAACTCCATTTTGTGGCAGTCACTGACCCAATTACTTTTCAATTTTCAGCAATTTTTCTGTTTTAGTGATGGTGTCTATGGATGACAGCGTGGTTTAAGGATTCTTTCTTTAATTTTGAAGTTCTATTTCTTTGTTTTGTCTCTTCTAGAGCTCAATGTAAGCATCATTAAATCTAACTCAGTATCTCAAATATTCTTTCTTGCTTTCTTTCTTTTATCATTGTCAAATTGTTTCTCAACTATGAAATTGAACTCATGAAGTAGAAAAGGTGTGAGGTTTGTCAAGTTATCAAAATTCCTGACCTCTTTTATTAATTAGACTCGTCGACTAATTGTTTGTGCCATGATTTTCATTTTTGTTCACTGGAGGGAGAAAAGCATGATCTCTTTTGTAGGTGTAGCTTTTTTGAAATGGATTCTGCTTCAAACTCTACACTTAAATCAACTTCGGAAAATTGTGGACTTCAACTTTTGGGCATCATATATGATCTATGGCAGGCTTGCAGCACCTCGTGTTCTGCTTGGGTCACACACGTATTCACTATATTGGGTACACTTAGGCATGTACAATTAAAAATAGTTTATTTAAAAGAAAAAAGAAATGAAAGTATGAATTGCACAAATATTGTGACATCGTTGTCGTTATACCAAGTGTTTGTTTGCTTTTGTAGCAGTGTTTATTTTCTACTAGCATTGTTTTGCCATTTTCTCATGTTTATTTGCAAACTAAATAAATAGTATTAGAAATTCTCAAACCGAAGCAAAGGTCATGGTTGATAGCCAATATGTCAAGTAGTTCAAAGTATTATGTCAAGTAGTTCAAAGAATTATGCAATTTTTTCTTCGGTCTATCTTTACCATGTTTGAACTTCATGTTCATTTTAAAATTACATTGAATTGCCCCTACTGCTCCTATTGCAGTTCATCAGTCTTGCTCAATTTTTTGGGCCTTACCATCATCCATACAAGTAAAAATTCCCCATCACCTATGAAGCATAAACACCTCTCCATAAGTCATGTACCAGTGTCGGACACGGGCACACGTATAGCGATCCCGGTTGTCCCTTTACTGTTCTGTTGTATTCCGAACTCGGTTCCGTGAAGTGGTAGTGGTATCTATCTTATTGTCGTCCTTTAATTCCACTTGATTGAGTTTTAGGATGTTTTGAACAGGGTTGTTACAGGTTGGTTAGGCCTTGGTTTCAATTCCTTGTTGTTCAGTTTTTAGGCGATCCGCTCGAGCGGGTCTTCTTGCGCTCGAGCGGGGATTGCATACCTCCAGTAGTTCGTGTTCCTGCAAAACTTCTGCAGATGTGATTTTTGCGCTCAAGCGGGTTTGTTTACGCTCGAGCGGTGGAGCTCGGGCGGGTTTGTTGGCGCTCGAGCGGGTAGTACTTTCTGGATATAGGTTCTGGGAGGGGAAAATCTATGCTCGAGCGGACTGGTTTTCGCGCTCGAACGGAAGTGCTTTATTCTTGTGTCTTGGCGCTCGAGCGGGCCTTATTGCGCTTGAGCGTGTCCAGATTTTTGTTTTTGGCGCTCAAGCGTTGTGTTCTCCGCTCGAGCGGGTCATGTGTATATGAGTTATCCGCTGGGTCATTTTAAATCACTTTTTCACTTTTCTTCTCTCTCTTACTTTTCCAAAAAACACCATTGTTGAGCTTCTCACTCTAGAACTCTACCTTCTCTCTAGGTATTGATCTAGTAAGAGTGATTTCCTCACCTTTGGCCTTTACAAAAGAGTTGTTGATCATCGAGGGCTATCTTTTGATCCGAGAAACTCGTGATTTAGAGCAAGTTCGTTTTCATCATCTTCTCCGTTGGTTGTCATCCTTTGAGGTAGAGATTCCTACTCACTCTTATGGTCTTTGACCTAGATTCTTAGTTGTTTTGATAGAGTGTTGAACTTAGGAAATTTTGGGACTTAGGGTTTCAAAATGTGTAAAAAGGGTTGAGTGATTTTGGGCTCATAACTTGTATTTTTGGGTTCCAAAGTGATGATATGGTTGTTGGTTGTTGATATTAGGCCATTGGGTCAATATTGGTTGTGTGTGTGGGAGGAGATAGGGGATGTACTCCACGGTTTAGGGGAAGATAGGGGATGGACCTCTAAACCGGATGTTGTTTGGGAGGAGATAGGGGATGGACTCCACTGATACAGCTCATATGCTTGTCAGATAATGTGTTGATACAGCTTATATGCTTGTCATTGGAAGTGTTGATACAGCTCATATGCTTGTCATGGGAAGTGTTGATATAGCTAATATGCATGTCTGTTGAAATGTGGATATAGCTTGTATGCTTATCTGTTGAGATATTGATATAACCGGAGTGTCTATCTATTGTAAAAATGGAAAATGTTTAATATGAGTCTTGGTCTCATATAAGTGGTTGGCCAGGTTCTGAGCCATTGATGTGAACTGTGAAATTGATAAGAAATGGAAATGGATTATGAATTGGTTTATGAAAATTGAACATTTGTCAATTGCTAATGTCTTAGTCATTGCTCATACTGTGTTTAGCATATCTCTATTGGGCTGTGGCTCACCCTATATGGGAATATCATTTTCAGGTACAGGTAGCATGCCACCTCCAAGGACATAGCTTGGGAGGCTAGAGGCGGACACACTTTTGTTGTCTTATTTCTTTTTGATGTATTACATGTAAATTCAAGCCAAGGGCTTAATATGTAACCGAGTTAGTACTCTCTTTTGTAACCAAGTGTGTAACTTGGAAAGCTGTAAGCCCGTAGGGCATTTGCTTTTGTTGTTAACATGTAATACTTTTTGGTAATGGAACTCTGATGAATAGAAGAATGTGGAGTTTTTATATATCAATGCATGTCTATATTGATGGGTTTAATGTTATTATTTTGAGGGCGTTACAACACGCCAGACACGCTACGGACACGTTGCAGACACGTTAAGACACACCGGGGACATGCTGAGAACACACTAGAGAGCATCTTTAATTAAAAAAACGTAATATTTTTATTTTATTTTATTGAAATAGCATGCCCAAGGTGATGAATTTGATGAAATTAAATATTTGACATAAAATAAATATATAATATTAAAAAATATGACCAATAATAAATATATAAAATTATATGTTTTGCACATATCCCTAGAGTGTTGTGTTCTGCATTTTAAAATTTTGCATGTCTGTGTCCGTACTTCTTAGCCCGTCACCCTTAATTTCAAATGATGAATGGGTTTTTCCACATCCTATTATTTAGAGGGAGTGTGTATAACAATTTCATTGCTAAATTTTTTTGTCTTGTGATGCAATGATTTTGGCCTTTGTCCACATTTATTTGTCAAATTTTAAATAAATTTAAGCTGGTGGTTAATGCCATCTCTAAGTTATGTACTTCGGAACACATCTTTATGCCAAAGAAATGACCAAAATTGTATGTTCTCTTGAAAAAATGAATCGAAGCATGTGACATGGTTTTACTTGAAATTTTGCTATTAGAGATTGTGTCTTTCTTATGACTAGCTAAGGAACTGCAACTTTTACCATAGGGGTTACGGTTATGTCTATATGCTTAGTTGCTTACACTGATTCCATTCTTCATATTTGATGTTACAATGTTTAGGTATTGTGTAGTTGTATTTCTTTTAGCAACGTTGAATAACTTCATACAATATATGGTTAGTCTTGCACTCATTTCTGCATTACTGGATGCTTATGCAAATAGTAGTTTTTATGATGAAATGCATTCTTCATAGAATATTTATTTTAATGTTGCCATCATTCACCATAAGTTTGTTGCTAAACCATCTCTCTCTCTCTCTCTCTCTCTCTCTCTCTCTCTCTCTCTCTCTCTCTCTTTTCTTTTTTGTTGTGCCCATGATGTTTGCAGATTGTAGTGAAGCTGGTTCAAGGTGTAAATGTCATCTATGCCAACCACATAAACCACATGAAGCTGGTTTCATGTGGTTTCAGTTTAAAATGACAATAATGTCAGGAGGGATTTTCGGTGGCTGCTTGTCAAATGTTTGCTAGTCATTGTTGTTTTCTTTTCATTTCCAGGTTTGATCCATTTATTTTTGTGAATGGTATCAGCTCTTTCAATCACTTTCAACCTTGTCCAGTGAAGTAAATATTGCATCTGATAAATGTAGAATATCCTATTTTGGGAAAAGATTGGTTATTGATGACCTAATGAAGGTTTGATGATTCTAGACATGTAGTAGTTTGATGATTGTGTATTGTTGTTGTTGTTTCCATGCTTCTGGTTGTGTTACTTTGCTTCTCCTATCATACTCTATATGATGCTTCTGCTTTTGTATCTGCATCATATATAAAAGTTCATTGGTAATATTTGTTGTAATGTTGCTGATATTGACTGGTTTTATGCTGATGCTGCTAACATTGTTGCTTTGGCTTTCTTGCCTTTATGTGCAGCTATTTCTATCTTTTCTCATGATCAGTATGGTGTACCTGTTGTGCATATGTTCATTTCGGTTATAGCCAAGCCTACATTAGCTACACAAGCCTATCCTTGTTTGTATTGTCCTGGGATATGCTCCTTGTATTCTGTATTTATTTCTGATCTTTGGTCTATATATTCACTTACACAATACATATATATATATATATATAAAGCCTTTTTCACCAAATAATTGGCATGTTGAAATTTGATTCATATTGCTTGCCTTTCTCACAATGTATATTCACTTACACAATATATATAGAATCATCATTCACCATTGCAAGGGAATGATCATTTCATAAGAAATCCTAAAGGATGACCATTCCATTCTATTCCATTCTATCTCATTCTAGTGAACCAAATAGAGCATGAATATTCATCGTGTGACTATAACTAGTGTCACTATAACTATAGTGAGCATCTGACTGTGTTCAAACTTTTTGAATGTTGGAACTTTGATTGTGTTTTGGTTAATGTTTATGCACACCAAATGATGGGGTGAAAAGAGGAAATTTGTGAGAGGTTCCTGTCAATCTTGACCAATTTTTTGTAAACCATGGTGAAAAAATTAAACTATAATGCTAGGAATTGGAAAGCTTTATAATGTTTGGTACACAGGATTGCAATTTTGAACTCAGGTAATGAAACTAGCTTGTGGTCATGCAACCTTGTGAAATTTCAGGGGAGCCAAGATGCAATTTTATCCTCTATTATTCAGGTCTAACTAATTTTGTTCAATACAAATCATCATGTGGAGCACTGGATTATCTTGAGACACCAGAGGTGTATCCTATAGAGAAATGGTGAAATCTTATACTACATAAATGAAACAGTTGAGATTGTGCAAAAAACAGATGAAGAGAATTCTCTTTCACAATGTTTGGGGGAGGATAGTCCTGATGTATGATTGTATATCTTGGGGCCCTGGCTCGTTTCCACACTCTGAAAAAATATACTGGAGGAGTGCATCATCCTTTAGATGTGATGATGGATGGAATGAGAGGATTACATTCTATTTTTTTCTGGAGGCAGAGAAAATGAGAGTAACTGTTCAGTTTTCTCTACGATTAAAAACCTGAGAATCAGCTATCACTAAATGGGCGTTGATAGAGTTGAGTGGAGAAGAAGGATTCATGTTCCCAACCCCATTTGATGTGACTTAAGGCTTGGTTTGGTTTGGTTTATAATATTTAGATTATCTATTTTACTTTTAGCTTGTGTACTAATAACTGTATTTGACAAACTATTTTCCTTGCTCTTTGTGTTGAAATCTACCAAGTCTCAAAGATCTAATCTTTTCTAAATGATAATGTTTTGAGGAGCTGATGTAGCACCAGTGAGGAGAAGGATAAGAAAGAAAAGAGCAGGTGGGAAGAAAACAGAGGGCAGGGTAAAACAAGGAATAGTCCCAAAGCAATATCTTAATCTCAATCAATTAATACTCAAACCTAAGCCTGATAAACCCTTACATAAAAGCCATATATGCAAGTAAACCAAACAAACAAAAACTACGAAATAAAATCCTAAACAAATTCATTTTCCTAAATAAATTAAACTTCTAAATAAGTAAAATTCCTAACCTTCAACTATTTCTTATCCAATTCCTTTACGTTACCCATCAGGAGCTTCTACTGAACCAAGTGTGGCTGTCAGTTTTTGGAGGCTTGTGGCTGTCAGTCCTTAGAGGGTCCTTAGGTTCTTGATGTTTGTTTGCTGTCCAGTCTGGAAGTGGTTTCTGACTGTTTTGTTAGGGTTAATTTAATAGGATCTCCTTGCTAGGAGTCCTGAAATTTGAGGCTATAATTTTTGGTTGACTATGCTCTGGTAGTCCTGCACATACAATTCAAGAAGGTTGATTAATAAAAATTCTCTTAAGCTTTTTGCTTTATTGTTTTTTTGTTTTTTAATGGATTCCATTAATTTAAGCTGCAGATGTGCAATTTGCTAGGATACACTAGTTTGTTGCTGGCAAGAGACAATGCCAAATCTCAATTTTGATGGTTGGGTATATAAAGACATCTTTGTGTTGTAAAATAGCATTAATGATTAATTACTAGTTGTGTTCTCGTGGGTCAGTGAATCTTAGGGATAGGCAACCAAGTACACTATGAGAGGGATTTCAAATCTCCAACTAGGGGTGTTCACTTGTCAGACCCCCGGGGGGGGTTGTTTGCCATAGACCCTGTCACCTGGACCGATCATCTCGAGTTGAATAAGAAATAACCCAATTTTGACCTCTAGATGCTCAAAACCGAACATATTCGGGTTGAATAGTTTCAGTCGAAATGTCGAAACCAACCAATCTTATCGCATTGCAGATCATAACCCCAAAAAATTAAAACAAAATTTAACCTCGTATATATATTTTTTGAGAAGAAAAAAAATGAGGATTAGAGGAATAGGAAAGAGACCAAATTTAAGAGAAGAAGAGCTTTGGGTGTGAGGGAGAGAGGCAGGAAGGCAGAGGAGTGAGAGAGGAGATTGTAATGACAGAGAGAGGATAAAAGAGACATTGAGATCTGAGACAGAGAAGCGACGGCAAAGTGATCTCTAATGGAGAAGGTGAAACACTGGTGGAAAGCAGCATCAATGGTGAGGCAGTGGCAAAAAGCAACAGCAGTGGCCAAGCCTCAGTCAAACTAAAGGTTACTGTGTGGTTCTATTGCAAGTTACAACTAGTCTTTAGCAACTAAATGAAAATATGAGAGAGTTTTGAAATGAAAAGAAAATGTAATGATGATGGGGTGATGGAAAGTCGAAGAAAGTGTCATTATGATGTGAAGATGAAAGATTGAATAAAGTAATAGTAATTATAATGTGCAAGTGAAAAAGTTGAATAATGTGTCAAGAGGTAAAGAATGTGATAATAATATTTGGAGTTTCTCAAAAAAAAGAAAAAATTGTTTAACATTTTCTGTCAACATGATAAGGGTGTTACACTCCAGCTAATAAAAAGAAGTCTGGCTGGAAAAATGCATCATATAATATTTCAGTTGGCTCAAGTTTCTTCGTTTTTTTGATCTATTCATTCGATAGCCGACCGCAAAAATAAAAAATAAAAAATCTGCAATCTTAACTCGTGAGCTGTCGGCCCGGGTCGGATCGGATGGATCTTTGAACAGACCTATCTCCAACTTTCATTGTATAGATGGTATAAAATTAAGCTGCAATTATGTTAAATGAAGTTACAGATGTTAAAATGAAATGTTTTCATTAGCTGGTGTTAGATTAGTCTTTATTCATTCCACATTGGAAGCATTTTGTTTTCCAGTGCTTACCCAAATCCCTAAGGCTATAGAGTGGCAGCCAGTATACTTGCATTATTTTTGTAAAATAGATAAATAAAAACTGCAGCCCTGGATGAGAACTGCTAATACTAACTAGCAGTACAACTGGATTAATATCCAAGTGTTGATCTCATTGGCTTACAGTCTACTTATTTATCTATGATCAGAGGCTTAAGATACCAAGGTGCCACAAAATCCTTGCTTGTTCAGTAATATGATTGTATAGGAATTTGTAACTGCTTTTTTAAGGTTTGATAAACGTCCTTGTTTTTTTTAATTGAGCTATTTTATTTACCATTGGTTTGATTCTTTCCTTGATCACTTTCTTTCGCTTTTATATTTAAACGATCTAGTGTTTTGAGCTTAGCAACGTGTTCACTAATTGTGAGGTTTCTATTATGATTATATCGTTATGTCAGCTAGTATAATCAAAGTTTTTAAAGGCGAATGCGTACCTCTAGGCATTTTACCCCTCATGAGACGAGGTGTAAGCCTCAAGGCGTTGAGGCATAAGCATTTTAAATTTCAAATTTTAATATTTAGTGAATAAATTAAATATTTTAAAATAGTAAAAAAATAAAAACAAAATTAAATTTAAAGGTGTAAATACTTTTCGCCTTAAGGCGTGGAACATTTTACTGCATAGAAGGAAATTTTCCTTCACTGAAAGTGAAATTGAAATTGATATTCTTAACTTTAGTGATTGAGCTTCTCACTTGACCATTAACTGTGTTTTTTCTAATTGATTATTTACTTAATTTTTCCAATAGAATATAGTTGTAAAAAGGGATTCTTTTTATTTTTTTAAGTTTAAACAATCTAATAGACTAAGTTTAACAAAAGCCCAAGGCAACCTCTACATGTGCGTACTTCTCACATGCTTATGCGCAAAAAACATACAAAGCGCACCTAAGACGCATGTGTCAAACTATGATGTGCAAGCCTTTGGGAAGTAATGTCTAAAAATCAAAGCCTTAATGCATTTTACCTTAGCTTCAAGGCGAGGTGAGGCGAGCCTCAAGAAAGCCTTTTAAAACTTTGAGTATAATTACTTTGAAAACACATATATAGATATGGAAAAATCTATTGATACATAAAATTCACACAAAAAACTCTCACAAGAATGATGTGGCAATGTCATTCTTGTAAATAAACTCATCTTCATGGTTGTTATGTTTAAAAGTTAAAGATCCCTATTGTGACACATCATTCTGTATGAAAATTTTGTATGAATTTTCTGTTTGCATATCATTACTCTATAGATAGTAATTTACTTTTGATGGCCTTTTGATGGCGGTTGCTTTAGGATGGAGCTGCGTCAATCCTTAGACCTGCTTCTGTGCAGCGTGCATTATCCATTCTTGAGATGGAGGTTGAGCAAATAAATGAAGGAAATTATGAGCATTATATGCAGAAAGAAATTCATGAACAACCAAAATCTCTGACAACAACAATGCGAGGCATACTTATACAAGCAGGTTCGTGCAAAGCGAAAAGTTTTCTTTTGGGTGGACTGAAGGATCACCTGAGAACTATCAAGAGAAGCAGGCGTATTGTTTTTATTGGCTGTGGCACAAGCTATAACGATGCTTTAGCTGCATGACCCATATTGGAAGAACTTATTGGTAAGTACTTCTTGCATGTCATGTTAAGCAGATTTTGAATTTGATGTTACCGACTAACTTAAAACTATTTGAATTTGTAATATTCACAGGTATTCCAGTTACAATGGAGGTTGCTAGTGATCTGTTGGATAGGTAGGGACCAATATACAGAGAAGATACAACTGTTTTTGTTAGTCAATCTGGTGAAACTGCAGATACGTTACATGCATTAAAGTATGCATTAGAAAATGGTGCACTATGTGTTGGCATTACAAATATTGTTGGTAGTGCAATTGCCAGGAACACACACTGTGGTGTCCATATAAATGCTGGTGCTGAGATTGGTGTGGCTAGTACCAAGGTATAAAATTTTGTTTTTATTTATTTATTTATTTTTTTTTATCAGTGTCGTATTTTGAGTTTATCTCATTACCTCTGCCAACAGGCATACACTAGTCAAATAGTAGTGATGGCTATGGTAGCACTGGCAATTGGTGGTGATACAATATCCTGTCAAGCAAGAAGAGAGGCTATAATAGATGGCCTATTTGAATTGCCAAGTATGTTTTATTTATTTCTTTCCTTGTCATGTTGCAGATTTCATAGACTTTCAATTTAGGGGAAAGTGAGATTTAGTGAGAACAACTCAAAATAATTGCACTTTCATAGAGGTACAAGTGGGTGTTGTGCCCCACGCCATGACTTGCACTTGCACCGGACATAGACCCACTTGCACCTCTATGAAAATTGCATTTATTTTGTATGGTTCCCACTAAACCACAATTTCCATTTCTATTTATGGCCAAGGAGGTATGTTGTTAAAAATGCCCATTTTGTAATATCTGGACATTTTTTTAATTATTTATAATTTTTTATTTTGCAGGCGAAGTCAGAGAGGTGCTGAAGCTTGACCAGGAAATGAAGGATTTTGCGAAACTATTGATTGCTGAGCAGTCATTGCTTGTGTTTGCGGGAGGATACAACTATGCAACGGCTCTTGAAGGGGCCTTGAAAGTGAAGGAGGTGGCACTTATGCACAGTGAAGGTATACTTGCTGGTGAAATGAAACATGGTCCTCTGGCTTCGGTTGATGAAAATCTCCCAATTGTTGTTATTGCTACCCGTGACGCAACGCTTGTTTCATTTTAGTTTTGCTATGATAAAGAACAGTTACATCTTTTGAAATTGCAAATGTCATTTTCTGCTAACATGTTCTTGTTTGTGCACAGCAAGCAGCAGTCAGTTATTCAGCAACTTCATGCTCACAAAGGTCGACTCGTTGTTATGTGTTCAAAAGGAGATGCCGCATCTGTGAGCGTGGGTGGAACTTGTAGAGTAATTGAAGTCCCTCAGGTTGAGGATTGTCTTCAACCAGTAATTAATGTAGTTCCATTGCAGGTAATTTAATCAGACCATTCTAACATATATTCTGAAGTGTCTTTGCTCATTTACGTTTACACTGGGTAGATAGTTATCAACATTAATTGTAGTTGTTCAATCAATCTTGTATGTTTTATTTGAAATTAGTAATGTCGGTCAATAGTTTTACTGCAGAGTCCAGGAGCCTTAGCTAGAAACTTTGATCTCTTCAAGATATTTGTCAAGAAGCTTTCGGTAAGTATTGGTGTTTATCATCTGTATGCCAACATGTTAATTAAGGTGATGTTATTTTAGCCATTACAAAAACACTTATGTAATTCATGTATTAATGCAAATTATGGAAAATATATCTTTTTATATACTTACCTGGCCGTACCCGTATCCTGCTTGTAAGTTTTGTTGTATCGACATGCCCTTACCGTACCTGCACTCGTGCTTCTTAGGCTTTTTTACCAGTCTTGGCAACCTTTTAGGGCATACTTTTAAGAACTATTTAACTGTTTTTTTCAACAGTTCTTTATGCTTAGATTTTTGACAGTTTGGCATTCCTTTTTGGCAGATATTATTGTGTACTACTATATGTTAACTTTCATTGGCAATTTAGCTCTTCTGTCTAGCACTTGCAGGGAATGCGTCTTCGATTGAATACACTATCTTTGCTTCATGTGTGATTGGAGAGGGCTTAAAATTCCTCGACTCCTCTTCTAATTTTCTCTTGATAATTTCCGACCTTGCATTCTGTCTTTATCTTTGTGTGCGTGTGTTATCAATACATAAGATTTGTGGTCAAAGGAGTTTCGAATTTTAAACTCCCCCTCCCTCAAATACACAAAAAACATTAAGGATTTCCACAATCAAACCAAGTGGATAGAGCATCTCTGATTCTGAATAGTTCCTGCTTGCCATTATAATTCAAATTGCAAATATTGTAATGCAACAATGTCTAGTGCTAGAAATGATTCAAACCAGCATGAAATCCCTCCCTTATTGCATATGCATTTAAAGCATTGAGAAACATTAAGATCTATGCTAGTTTCCTTCAAATCTGTTCATCGTATTAAGATATGAATCAATTGTGCTCTGTTTTGATTATCCAGTCTAACTTTATACACGTTGAATCATTTGAGTTTATTTTATTTGTCTTCTGGTGCAGTTGTTAGCATATCATCTCACCGTTCTACGAGGCTACAATGTTGACCAGCCTCACAATCTTGCAAAGAGTGTTACAACCCAATGAGGAAGGTTCGTCTCACTTTTTTGAAGGGCTACATTGTTGACCATATTCACAATCTCGGAAAAAATGTGGCAACCCAATTAGGAATCTTTATCCATAGAATTCTAATGCTCCTCATGTTTTAGAATATTGTGAAAAGCAGGATTTCCAACTGAACCCTTACCTTCTTTTGGGCTCATACAACTATTGCTTAGTTATGCAACTTTTTCATTTGAGATAATTAAACATAGGTCGATATTACCCAACTCATACAATGATGTTGTACCTTCGTCATAAGTTGATTTCATATTATGTGGTTAAACTGAAGTCATGGTTTTTAAATAATTGCAAGTCATAACCTGAAACTCTCCTCTCCTCTCCTCTCCTCTTGTTT